ATTCCAACCTGGGTCTTCTGCAAGAGCAGCTGGTGTTCTTAACTGTTGCAGGAATCTTAAAAGTTCTTATTAATAAGATCAAACCTGAGGCCAGTTATTAGGGTGAATGCTGGAAGATCAGAGAAGCAGAACAAGCCACAGCTACCTCACCTTGCCAGTTCTTCAGGTGATCCTGTTTCCTCAGACTGGAAGCCTCTGAGTCCTCATTCAGAATGGATCTCAGCTGAACTGCTGCTAGAAGCCTGAAAGCTTAACCAGCCAAAAGCTTCTAGTTTCTGGTCTTCACGCCTTATATATCTTCCTGCCTTCTGCCATCACTCCCTGGGATTAAAGGCTCTCTTCTTGGGATTAAAGGCATGTGTCACCATGCCTGGCTGTTTCCAATGTGGCCTTGAACTCACAGAGATCCAGAGGGATTTCTGCCTCTGGAATGCTAGGATTAAAGGCGTGTGCTACCACTGCCTGTCCTCTATGTTTAATATTGTGCCTGTCCTGTTCTCTGACCCCAGATAAGTTTATTAGCGTGCACATTATTTTGGGGAACACAATACCACCACACTTAACCTGTGAGCTGTCTCCCAAGCCTCTATTGTTTTAATATTTTATTTTATAATTATATGTTTATAAGTGTTTGCCTGTATGTATGTCTGTGTACCATGTGAATGCCTGGTACCCTCAGAGGCCAGAAGAAGGTGTCAGATCCCTCTGAAACTACACAGATCCTGTGACTGTTGAGAATGTCACAGGACTTGCAGGGATGAGGCTGTCACTCCAAATCATTCTAGAAGCTGAAATGACCTGCTCTTTGGTCTGAACTAAGCAACAAAGAGCCAAAGTTCCTCATTCGTCATTGAGCCTTCCCTTCAGTTTGATTTGTACTGAGGAGAGCATAACCTCAGTCGAAGCATCCTGGCCTGGAGCTTAGGGATGAATGCCATCTGTGGCTCACACATGATTCTCAGCACAAACTAGCTTCAACATGTAGAAGAGACAAGGAGCTAGGCCAACACATCAATGCAGTTCTCAGTAAAGACAGAACTGACTCCCCGCATGCCACCATCTAAATTCAAACAGGTTCCACATTATGTCTTAGGAACAGTGTGTCTTCATAAATTGTGTATGTTTGAGTGGAGAAATCATTAACCAGAAAAACCCACAGCCTGATCTCTCCTGGGAAATATCACAAAATGAAAAGCGTTAGAGCATCTATCTTCCCATTGCATGAATCCATGAGTGTGACACACTATGAAGGAGGCCACTGTGCTGACCTGCCAGCGGGCTCAGAGTTCACAGTCCACCGCCAAGCTCCAAATCCTGCCTTCCTGCCTGCCAGAGTCTTTAAAATGTCGGGGAGCTCGTTTCAATACAGCAAACAGCGCGTCTGGGAGGAGGATTAATAATGCATCCTCTTTGCAGCCACAGGTTCCTCAACCGCCAGTGAAATTGCAGAGAGCACCAGGCGCTGCAGCCTGAGCAGCCTGGAGTCAAACATTTATCAGCCCCAGCTCAAAGGGGTGGAGGTGCAAGAAATTTGCAAGTCATGCCAAGACCCCATGAGTTCTTTTTTTTTTTTTTTTTTAAATGGTAGTGAATTGATGGATGATGGAGTTAAGAAGCTAGATTTATTTTTTCTTTTCTTTCTTATTCTTTTTTTTAAAGGTGTTAAGACTAAGGAACCCCACCTCAATGAGTCTTTCCTGCACTGTGGCCTGAAATGTACCACTGGGGCTCCATCCATTCAGGGCAGAGACACCTTTTCTGTGAGGTCCTTCCTGATGGATGTAGGTGAAGACAGTGAGAGCCAGGGTGTGCTGGGGTTTCTGGAGGTCCAGATACAGGAGGACACAGAGGGTCTGGGGCAAAGACAAGTGTTGGGGCTGTGTGGCAGCATGATGCAGGTGGTCAAATTGAGCCCCAGATTAGGAAGCGGAGAGGGATGAACAATGGTATCACCTACATTCGGGTGGAGTTTTCCTGACTCAGTTAAACTTCCCTGGACATGACCTCAAAGCTATGTCCAGTAGTGTGTCTCCTGCGGGATTTTAAAGTCTAATCAAGTTGACTATTGTACAGGAGCAGAAAGGGATGTGTGTGGACAGAGGCCCCCTTCCTGCTGTCTTCCTGTATTACTCTCTCTTTGAATGAGTCTTTGACCTCTTTCCATAATTCTCACAGCAAGCAGATGGATTCCAGGTCTAACCTGCAACTACGTAAGGATCACAGCTTGGTAAGGCAAAGGGGTTTCCCACATCTTAAGGGTCCCCCTCACCCACCCTCCAGCTGAGACAATCTCCCCACTCACCCATCACGCATTACCACCTTTATGTGCCCTGAACTCTAAGGAAGCTGTACTGTTTGCATGTAACTAAAGAACTCCCCAGATCTGTGGCTTCCCACTGGGTTTGACCAATGGGAAGGACGCACAGCAGACAGGAAAGATAGTTAGTACATGTGCGGTGAAGCTGGTTCTCTTGCCCCTTGCCTGCTACCCTAGGGCTGCCCCATCTCTGGCTCTCAGCCTAGGAGGAGCCGACTTCTCTGTATGCTAGAGGAGGTGTTCTCCCAGGCATCCCTTAGCTGCTGCTCCCTAGGCTCCCACCATCCATTCTTCTCACAATCTGATCATCCACTTCAGACCTTAGGCAAGGCACTGCCTTGAGGATGAAGCCCCTTCTCCGCTGTGGCTTTAACCTGCTCTCCTTTCTTCTCCAAGTAAGTCTCATTGGTGGCAGCCCTGCCTCTCGCTCCAGTCCCCCTTGGGTTCTCAGGCTGAACCCAGCATCCTCAGCATCTCCCTAGGGTACCCTACCCAGCTCTCAGCTGGTCCCTGGAGAGTTTCAAGCTTGTCTTGGGTGTTCTTTGGCTGCTCCCCCTGGGGATCCTGGCCTGCTCTTCAGCCAGGCCCTGCTCTGAGGAGTCACCAGGCTTTAACTGCCATCTTTGTGCCCCTGGAAAGCAAGCTCTACTGGGGGCATGGGCCATCCTGCTGGGTTTAGTCCTCGGAGACCTTTTTGCTCTAAGAAGAGGATAAATGGAAAGGGATTACAGCAGTAGCAGAATTTTTGCCGTGTTCTATTTTATTGTTATCTGGACTTTTTTTTAAACTTTAAAATAAATGTTTCTACAATTTTGTTCGGATGACTGTGAACCTGGAACAGCCGATGTACAATGTTCTGCTATTGTTGGTCTTTTAGTGTGAATATATATTTACAAATCATACATAATCACATAGTTATATATATGGATATAACCCACATGTATTTATATACAAAGTCACATGTAATCTGTCTGTACATATAATGCACATATATTTATGTACATTTCATATCTATATATAATTTGATATACATGTATATTGGCCTAGTAATGTTAAATTTCATTTCCCAATTTGCACAAGGTCATGCACAGTATATGTAAGGTTTTAACTGCATGGATTTGACTAAGAAATTAATGAAGTCTTCTCCACATAGTGAAAAACAACAGCAACAACACAGAACAGGAAAGACTGAGGATCTGGCTAAGGGAGTCATCCCTGTCCTTGAGTCCACTGCAGACCACGCTTGGCTCCTCCAGACTTCTGGAGGAAGGTGGCAGCCAGTTCTACTGTTGGTGGACCCTGAAGTGGCTACTGCTGGGGTCCCAAGTGTGCAGCTGGTCAGGACAGGCTAAGGAGCAGGGCTTCTACATCTTACAGTGAGTCCTCCAGGGGCACAGCAAGCATTAGAAACAGATGGACAGATAGGCGCCTGCTACAGAGAGCAGTCCTGCCCGTCCTCTGCCCTGAGAAAGGCCATGCTTTCCTCCCTTTCTGGAGCTCCCACCTGGCTAGCAAACTCCATTATACCATGATATCTTCTACCCCTTCCCATCCTCTCTCCTGCCTTCCTGAGGTTGGTTTTGACTTCCTAACCAGTATAAAAACTCCAGGCAGGCCTCATTAGCACAAGTGTGGATCAGTGGAATCAATAAGTCGGGGTGCAGAGAACAGGGGGCAAATCACTGCGCCTCAATTCCTTCTTCTGTAAGAGGAGGTGTGATGGGCGACTCACTGCACCACAGTGTCTGAAACTCAGAAGTGTCAGAGGAGAGTCTCATTCCACCCCAGAACCACACAGCACCCCTCCCTCTGCACCTCCACACTCCCTGTCCTATAATGCCAATGCCTCACCGGACCTGAGTTCTCCCTTTTCTGCAGAGAACTGGCCCATACTTTTTACTTCTATCTTAATCTACTTTATAGTTCAAATAAACTCCACCTCATGTGTTCTCATCCAGTGGCCTCTCAGCCTGAGGAGCCTCAGACTAAAAGGCCTTGCCTCCCCTGAAGCTGAATCTGCAACAAGGATGCATTGTTCAGACTCAAGGGGATGGGATGAAGCAGAGCAGACAGATTAAACAGAATTCAGCTGACCCTCTGGCCACAGCAGCAGTACCCCACAGAAAGCCCATGCTGGTGGACGCACAGCTGCTTCTTCAGACAATAAATGCCAAGTGCTTGGAGCTAAAAAGCCCTTACAGAAGGTGGTTTAAACTTGTTTGACAGACTAGGGCCCATGTGGTCCTGCTCCTGGTCCAGCTCCATGGATGGAAAGCTGTATGTGGCCTCCATAGGGCTCTTTATTTTTTGAGAAGGGTAAACCTCTTGTGTTGCTATTTCTCAGAAGAAAAATGTTCCCTCCTGCAAGGAGGAAGGACCATATAAGACTCAAGAAGTAAAGGAATCTTACCAGGCTCAGAAAATGAACACAACTCAAAAGTTTCAGGAAGTTTTTGAAACTTACAGGATTTATAAGGCCCCTCACCAGAAAGCCTTGTAACAATGGGGAGAAGAGTGTCTTCTTCGGTCAATGGAGCTGCCTGAAAGTCTTCCCAGGAGCTCCAAGGATAACAGCTCTCTTGAGTTACCCATGCTTCTGTGGGCTTTCCAGTGATATAGTCACCCATGCTCCTGGGAGTAACTCCTCACCCATGGTGGGGGAAATTGAAAGGGGAGACATGGAGAGGGATGTGATCATATTTTATTGTATGCACTTATGAAATTCTCAAGAATAAAGAAATTACAAAGACATGCATGAGGAGTAACTCAAAGAGGAAGAAGTTGTTTTTGTTTTTTTTGACTCATAGCTTCTCCATCATGGTGGGGAAAGCATGGTGGCAGGCGGGTGAGCCAGCTGGTCACACTGCGTCTATAGTCAGTCAGAGCAAGACAAATGCTGAGTATCCACTCTATTTCTCCTTTTCATTCAGTCCAGGACCCCAGTCACTGGGTTGGTGTTGCCCACATTCAGGGTAGGGTGTCCCTCCTCAGTCACACCTCTGGAAACTCCCTCAGATGCATCTCCTCGGTGATCCCCAATCCTGTGAAGTTGGCAATGCAGATTGGCACCCCCCTCACAGATCTACATTAAGGTCAGAAGTGTGGGTGTTTGAAAGTGTGTGGACCAGTACCTGGCTCAGAGTACTTGCTGCTTAAGGGTCTGTATGGTCATGCATTTCTCCCTGTATCTCATACATGCATCTATTCAGCAGCCGCGAAGAACCAGGCTCATTTTTCCTACAATTCCATTATTGTCTGTTTGGGTGAGTCCTGAGCATGAAGCTTCTGGAAGGCGAAGAAATAGCAATCTTGTCCACAGAGGCCATGAAAGCCCAGCCAAGTCTTTGGGAAATGAAGTAGCCCTGCCCTGAGATCCATGCCTCAGCATGCTGCCCACAGCTCGAGGTCCCTCCCTGTGACTGGGGGCAACAAGGCAGGATGTGGACCACAGCATACACCTCATGGAACACTGAGTGCCCTGGGTTGGAGGTCATCTGTCTGGGACTTAATCTACATCTTTTCCTTACCTATTGCAACTGGAGTGCTTTCCTCTTACCTGTCATGGGATGGAGGGTAGAAAAGGGTTTCTGAATCCATGCTTCCCTATGTCAAATCTATGGAGCACAGCTCCCAGGTGAATCCTTCACGATTGGGAAGGAGATGTGGCCAGGGATGTCCCTGGATGTCCCCACGCAAGGCTCTATCTGCTAGAGAAAACATAAACAAGAGACATGCCTCCAGATTTTCACCCTGGCAGGGTGGACATGGAGCATTGTGGAAGATGAGGCTGGTTTGTGGTGCCTGCAGGCTGGCTATAAGGAAGGCAGGGGTGTTGGAGGTCCCATCTTGGTCCTAGAAAGAGGGAGGAGCAGCAGGAGGAGAAACCTCTTGGGCCTCCCAGAAGAGGGGAGGAGACTGGCATCCCAGCTTAGTAAGTTGAGCAGGCTCAGGGCAGGAAGAGGCCCTGTGTCCATGGCTTTGGAACACTTAAAAACAACAGAGACCCTGGAGGAGGAGAAGGGACTTATGAAGGGTCTCTTCAACCTGTCCTCAGGTGTCACCAGGGTGACCTAAGGGTCATCAGGTGCTTCTCCCTTAGAGTTTTGAGGGAAGCTGGTCCCCAGGTCTTCCTCGCAGGGGACTAGCCAGTTAGGGAGACTTTGAGTAGTGGTAGCTCCTCAGCTAGGGCATCAAGCCTCAACCAAAGGGCCATGAAGGCCACTAGCTAGCTGACCTCCTGTGTGGCCATGGCCAGCCTATACAGCCTGGAGCTAGGGATTGCTAAGGGTGAAAACAGCTTTCCCACCTGCAGAGGAAGAAGGCCAATTGGCCCAACAAGCCACGTGATCTAGTAAGGGCAATTGGGGCCCAGCCTTTGTTCAGAACACACACTCCACTGGAGCAGGAGGGAAAGGAAGCATCCAGGAAGTGTTGAACATTGACTATAACCTGGCTGCAAATAGACACTCATGGGGGAAATCTGTGGGAGACCCATAGGGCCACAGAATTGGGGTCCTGTGTGCTCCCAGAGCCACAAGAGAAGGCATTTCTGATTTTTTTCCCCCAGCCACCCAGTCTGTGGTGCTTTGTCCCAGCAACCCTAGAAGTCACTTTTCTGGGCAGGCGGGGCTGGGCATGGGGGAATCCTGGGGAGGCTCCTGTAACAAACCTTGTCTGAGGGAGGGAGAGGAGAAAAGGGGCGGGGTAAGACATACCTGGACTTCCTTCCTGGGTCCCATCTTCATCACTCTCATCCTTACTGTGCCTCCGCAAGCATAGGCCAGGCAAACAGTAGGTCAGCTTCCTGTGGGGAAGTATCCTGGACTGACAGCAGTCAGCTAGAGCAGCCCCTGCCAGATGGGGAGGGACACTAGACAAAATGCATCTGTATTTTTTTTCTTTCTTTTCAGAAACACGACCTTGAGCATCTTAGACTGGCCTTGAATTTGCTATGTAGCTGAGGATGACTTTGAATTTCTGATCTTCCTGCTTCCAACTCCTAAATTCTGGGATTACATGTGTGCACTATCAGACCTAGTTTATGCAGTGCTGGGGGCTGAACCCAGGGCTTCGTACCTGTGTGGTAGGTGAGCAGTTTATCAAGTGAGCTACATCGCTGGCCCTGTATTTCTTCATCAAGCTTTAATAGTGAGGTCAAGTTGGTCCAGGCTAGGATTTGGGGGCCTGTCAGGGTCCATATCTGCCTCCCATCCCTCCTCAGCCAGCCTCCCCGCTTTGAGCTTGAGAGCCGCTGGTCCTGTTTCCCTTGCAGAAATGTTTTTGTTCTATTTCAGCTTCATTTGGTCATTTAAGACAGAAGTTCCTACCTCCCCCAAACCCCACCCCCGTACGAGGTCATCTTTTATATTTCCCATAAGGTAAGACTGAAGTGAGATGCCTGTGTGCCCCTCTGATGGAGTTGGAATAAATATATTTATACCATACAAGTATGCATAAGGAAAAAAAAAACGAACATGGTCCAGGCTTTTGCAATGCAGACTAACTCAACCACCTCCCTTTGGGATGAATCAGGTGAGGGCGGAAAATCAGAGAAAGCAGCTCAAGGCCGTCTCTGTCTGAGCTCCTGCTCTCCCACCAGCCTCTTTCTGTGGGTGTGAGAAGCAGACAAACTCAGGGAAGCCGTCTTTCCTCCCTCCTTCTAGCTCCAAACCTGGGCAAGGTGTGCTTGACTCAAAGCTGGGAAGAGAGTGCAAATGGAGAGGCTCATCCTCCCAGCCAGCCCAAGACCTTGTCACTTCCCCAGGCATGGTAGGAATCCCAGGGATGGAAATGGTCCCTCCCCCCTCCTCCGCATCCGCCCCATCCATCCCTGCTCCCCGTCTCCCCATCAAGATCTAGCTAGCTAGCTGGTCTTGCCAAGTAGTGAGCTCCAGGTTCCGTGAGTAACCCTGTCTCTAAATAAATACATAATAGGGGAAGATGGATCCGACTTTGACTGCTGGCTCCAACCCCCACACACATACCAGACACTCAAAATCCTGGCCCGCTCTCAGGGAAACCTCAGTCTCCCATTCTTCTAGGGAATCCTGCTGTTTTGAACCCAAAACCACCAAGGCTCTGCGATGAATGGGAGGGGTAAGTATGCTTAGGTAACTCTCTCCCTCCCTCCGCCACCGGGATTTGCATTTGGAGTAGGAAGGGAGAACTGTCCGAACTCCTACTTGCCCCCCTTGCTAGGGTCCCTGGTCCTCCAGCGCTTTCACAGCCTCCATCTTGTTCCGTCTTTCCTCGTAGCCTTTCTTACACTGTGTGATGCCCAAGGCCTGGGCAGTGGGGCCTCTGATGCCTGCAGCGGGACCCCTGTTCCGCACACACGCACAGCCCACACTTTGCACACTCACTGGACCCTGCCCTTACCACCCCGCTGAGAGCTCATGTCCCTCTAATAGGGATGTAGAGTGCGGATGCCTTGTTGGAGGAGGGAGCCTACCTGTACCGGGCAGAGTTGTTGAGAGACCCAGGGCCCCAGACACTCACCACACGGGACCCACGCTCCGGAGTTCCAATAAGGTCCATGGAAACCCCAAACAGGTTCACTTGAGAACCCAGCCGTGTAGGAAGTCATCCTTCGGCCAGCTTGTCGCTGTCCCTTACACAGGCACACTGACACCCACCCGTGCACACACAGACAAGCTCATGGCTCCTGTGTGTGGTCTTCACAGGCCCCAGGGCTCACCCACCCCACTGGTGCCCAACACGTCCAGGACCTACCGCCTAGGGTATGGGGAGGTGGGGGAGGGGTCGGATGCTGGAGGAGTCCGGGGCCAAAGGCTGCAGGGCCTTGTCTCTGCGAAGGCACTCATTGCCAGTTTTGAAGGGACCCAGGGTATGGGCCTAAGAGGAGACGCTGGAGCCTCAGAGCTCCGAAACAGGTGCCCACCAAGACTGGGTGAATGCAGGCGGACCGGGCAATCTGCCCTGCCCACACCCCTGCGCCAGGGACCTAGCTCTGCGGCCTTCTCACCCCTCCCCAGAGCAGCGCCACTGTATGCGGGGCTCAGCCCAGGTCCCCTCTGAGAGGAAGATAGAGGTTGGCTTTTGTCTGACCAGGTCACACGGAGCCGTTTTGTGGGATAAAGGCTTAACGCTCCGTGAACACGCAGAAAAAGCTGGCGCTGGCCCTCTGACAATCCCATTGTCTCAGGCCTGAGCCCGGAGGTTTGGTCTGAAAGCGCCAAGTTCATGACATTTCAAAGAGAAACGATACTGGGGAGGAGGTGAGAAGGGAGGGGGATGTAGCGAAGAAATAAAACCCTAAAATACAAAGGTAGCAATATTTGGCTCCTTCCCCGCCGTGCGCCTCACCCCACCCACCTCAGAACAAATCTCCTTTTCCAGACTTATCTGGAAACGAGGGGCCAGCCTGAGACCCGGATCAGTCCCAGGGGGCTGCGGTTTGGAAGGCGAAGGTGTGAAAATATGCCCACATAAGCCGTGTGCGAGCTTCCCGGACTGCCGCAGACATTAGCACAGGCTCCCATTGTCTGAGCTGCCCCCGAAGGATGACACTACAAATTTGCCAGGACTTGAGGTGTCAAAAAGAGTTTCTTTTAACGACCTGACATGTTATTGTTTTCTTTCATTTCTTATTATTATTACCATATCCTTTTTTTTAAAAAAAAAAAAAAAAAAAGCAAAGCTATTTTCTGAGCCAAGGAACTCTTTTTTTTTTTTTTTTTTTTGGTGTTTAATTTGTTTAATGTGCCTTTGTAAAAGCAAATAATTCGGTAGGGAAAGCGAAGTCGTCAGGAAATTGAATGTGTTTTGTCTCCAGCCAAGCTTCCCTTGAGTGATTTCGTTTGCTTTCTGTCTCGCACAGGCGCCTCTGCACTGGGACCTCCAGGCCCGGCAGGCAGGAAAGCAGCCCACCGAACCTCTCCCCCACTTTAGGGGGTCAACACCCCTCAGCCTAACTGCCTAGGCAAACCACCCTCTGGAAGAACAAAAAACGTGGACTTGCAGACTCGTTGTAGTGCGAGGAGAAAATAGGATTAGGCCAAAGTATGAGCAAGGTAAGTCGGATTACCAGCAAGGTTCAGCACGCTCTGGCTTTCTTTTGTGATTTTAATTGTACAAAGGTATCTGCTTCCCTTCTCTGGTTTTATTTAAAGAGGCTGTTTGTTTGTGCCCAAGAGGTAAATGATGAGCCAGAAGGCTGTGCGGGATTGGAGACTATAACCTTGCAAAATGACATCTCTCCCTGTAACGTGTGACACGCACGGGTAGATAAAGGAAGTGCGCCAAGCGCGGCCTTTGTTAACGCTTCTTGCCCCCTGGCGTCTCTTTGATGGAAGGACACCCCACTCCCGCTGCTGAGGTGTCTGCCGACGAGGGCGCCTTCCCCACAGGCAACCGCAGCGAGGACTACAAATCGATTCATTTTTTAAAATATCCAGGCAGAGAAGGGTGTTTAAAAACTTATGAGCAGGGATCATAGATCATCAAATCTCGAGAGAGAGAAGAATTGGCAAAAACCTGGCCCGTTTATTATTTTAAAACTAAGTCTGTTGCTTTCTGCCACATGTAAATTTAGTCTGGGTTTGTTAATCAGGCTCTTGTGTGTGTTAGAAATTAACACAATGTCTTTGGGGTGAGGCAAGAGAGAATTTATAATCGTTTAAGTTTGCAATTAACTTTGGGGGCAGAGGGCTGCAGCTAGCTCCCTGAGTAGCCAAGGACGGTTCAGGAAGCACTTGGAAGCTATCAAGTCTGTCTGTGGCTTTCCGAAGGTTCTCTCTAGGCTGAAAGCTAGAGGGACAGAATCCAATCCAAAATTGGAGGGGTTTGCTGTTCTGGTTGGGAGTGGAATGTGGGTCTGGGCAAAGCTCAGCGCCACAGTAAAAGAAAGTGCTGGCTGATCAAAGTTTGCCCTTCTGAGGGTCTGCTGAGAACGAGGAAGGCCAAGACTTTTAGGCTTCGGACTTAGAATGTCTCTTTCTATAAATGGAGACAGGTACCCCCCCCCCCCCGCCCCCGCCCCAAGACTGTCTGACTCCTGGGGAAGCCCGGGCAGACAGCTCCCACACCGCCGGGCTCCGAGCTGCCCAGGCACAAGTTTGTTTGAACTGAGAGTGTTTTTGCCTGGGTTTCCTTTCTTTGCTGCCCAGCGGTCTGTAGCAGGGAAGCTGCAAAATTCCTGGGTGGGGCATTTCTGTGGCTTTCTCTGGGTGATTTCAGTAGAGTGTCACTAACAGTTGTATTAATCTGGCAGATAAAAACCGAGATCCAAAGCTTTGTCTTCCCGGCTTTCTTCTTTTCCATATTTAACATAGATATGCATGCATGTAAGAAGTAATGGACTCTGCAAAGCCAAATCTTGCTGATGCCACGTTTTAATGGTGTGGCTTGCAAATTCATGCTTGGGTGCCTTTTTAAAAAGGAATCGATAATTTAGTTCACTGCTAAGGCTCGGGGTCTGTTATCTTCTCAGAGGTGGGATGAGAGAACAACTTCTTCGGTCTAAACTCTATTCTGGTTACTTAGTAGAGACTCATTTTAAAGTTACTTGTTTCCAGAAGGTTCCTTAAAGGCTTGTCCTTTCAGTCTCTTCCTGATCTTTAAGCTATGAATGGGAGTGAGGCGGGGGTGAGGCGGGGGTGGGGGGTGTCTCCTGTCTCCTGAAGGCTCTGGTATCCCCAGCTGCTAGGCCTGAGGAGCTAGAGAGGGTGAGGGTAGAACATACATGGATGGTTCCTCCCATCTGAACTTGAACTTTCTCCCCTGCTTACTGGTCTTGGAATTTGATTTGATTGTGTGTGTGTGTGTGTGTGTGTGTGTGTGTGTGTGTGTGTGTGTGTGTGTGCAGGGAGGCAGGGAGCAGGCTAGGGAACATGGATATAATGTCTTGGTAAAACAGAAAGAAGAGCCAGCTATGAGGAGGATGCCAAGTGCTTGGAACTAGGTACACGTGTGGTGTGGTGTCAGCTCTGTTGTCTTGGTTCTGGATATTTGGGTCTCCTTGTCAATGTTAGAGGATGACTAACACTGCTCTTTTAGCTAGAAGACCAAGGTAACGGTGAGGCAGCCTCTGAGACCAAAGAAGAAACAGCAAATGCAGAACTACAGGAACAGAATTAGATGCTATGGGAACATCACTCACCCCTCGGCAGTGGGGAGGCTGAGGGAGGGAGGCCAGAGTGGTTTTTACGTGGCAAATTCACGGGAAGTAAGAGTTGCCAGAACCTGCCTTTTCCTGGGGCTTCTGCCTTTTCCTGGGGCCTCTGCCTTTTCACCCCTAACTCACTGATACTGTTAATAACAGGACCACTAGATTTTTGCTTTGATTGGTCTGGAGACTAACAGCTTCCAGTAGACATGACACAAGTACCTCAAGTTGGAATGAGAGCTGTTGCCCAGGGAATGCAAAAGCACCATGTTGGGGCTTCCTGGAACCCCATTTCCTTGATCAGTCTTGAGCCTCAGGCCCCTGGCTCTAGAGACTTTTACAGATTGGTTTTTGTTGGGGAGAGAGAAGTATCAGAGATGTTAATTGTGCCCTGACAAAGTATAAGAAAAATACTGGAGATACTTAATAAGAATTTAACCCCAGAGCCAAGGAGCTCAACAAAGCCCATTTTGAGGGAATCTAGTCTAGTCGGATGTGTCTCTGGCTGGTGCTAGAGTGTCCCCTACATTAGAAATCTTTTATAACCTTAAACAGTGGATGGACCCTGATGGGTTCCAGTTCTTGCTTCCCACTCAGGGGAAACCGTTGGTTAGGTGGAGAGTCCCAAAGAAAAAGACAGACTTAGGGAGCTCTGTCAGTCCACCATGTTTGGGGAGAGCTGTGGAGAAACTCGAGTCTGCTATAAAAGCTGGGTTACAAGAAGAGAGCAACATGAAAGCTGTAAATAGGTTTGTAGGTATACATGTTTATTTAATATTTATCTGCTCTAAATATAGTTTTACTAGCTGTATCAAAGCCCCTGAATTGAGCAGCGTCCAAATGCTGTCTCTTGGCCAAGTTCAAACATGTCAGCTCCCTCTGTGGGTACTCCCCATGAATTTTATTCATCCTTCAGTTTATTCAAACTTGTTTTTGAACCATAGGAAGGGAGTTTTATTTGGCTAGTAAAGATTGTGTTTAGTTCATTGAGTATGCATTGCAAAAGTTTAGCGCTCAATGCCCACCTGAATTCCAAATTGGGAAGTTCAATATTTGTTTTTAATTTTCTGGCTCAAAAATGTTAACGAACAGAAAGGGATTCTTTCTGCTTGAGTGAGGCTCCTAGAAGTGTGGTTGCTATTCGAACTTGCCTCTAAAAACAGCGTTTGCTTCCTGCCCTGGCACACTGTGCTTGGAAACTTAACTCCTAGGAGAAATGTCAATATGTGTAAATAAAACAACAAGTGCTAGCCTTTGAATTAAGGACACAACATTCATGTCTGAGCAGCTTGATTAGAAGCAAATTTAGGTAAAAAGAACGCTTTACAGAAAATATTGGCACCAAAGAACCCTTGACGGTTGTCCTTTGGAAGATGCAATTTTGTGAGGAACTTCAAGGTATAATTGGCAAACTGTTTTCATTTTGTTGTACTAACATACTTAAACGAACCTTTAAAAACAAACAATTTGCTCTTTTCTTCACTGGTTTCAACTAAATGATGAGAATACGGAGCAGGAGCAGAGTGAGTAACATCTCTGGCATGCTCCACCTGACCAGGGACCAGAGAAAATGCTTTCTGTAAAGAGGTACATTTTAGATAAACCAAACGGAAATATGCTGCTCAAGTCAAGTCTATCTCGTGAATATTGGACATTTGACCAATCTGACCACAACCCATCATGGAGTGAGTGCCAACAGTCTCCGACGGAGAACTTAGACAGGCAAGATCTCCACAACCTGAACAGCCAAGTCAATAACTGAGTTTTGAGTAAAATGGCAGTATTTCTTCTCCATTTTATCTTTTCTCTCAGAGGAAGCAAAGATGGAGGGGTGGGGTAGGGCTTCCAATGTGATTCAGGAGACCTAAGGCAGCTTTCACAATCGCCCAAAGGCGATTCTGTTCCTTGCAGAGACATAGAAAGGACACACACACACACACACACACACACACACACACACACACACACACACACACAAGGTTTGAATTCCTGGA